TCTATAATCAGGTTTGCAAAGGCTCTAAAAATCTTCTGTGATTTTTTTCCTGCTCATTTTATTAATGTATAACTTATGCCTAAGATTTCTGGAGCTGTATTGGTTTTGAGTTCTCTTAGAGTATCTTTCCATTCTTCTTCTTCTATTTTCTCTTTTAGCTTTTCATACCAAGATTCTTGGATTCATGCTTTTGGATTGTATATTTCTTTCCATTCCTCTGATATTTTTTCTAGCTTGGTTTTCCGTTTTCTGAATTGGTTTCCAAAATGCTTTGTCAGACTATTAAGGATGGCCTCAGGTTCTGTCATTAGTCTTGCTTTCTCTTTATTTTGGATTATGAATCTGTTGAGAGTTATTTTTTTGTATGGCTTGCTCAACAGACTAGCAATCATTCATTCTTGATCAGTTTTGATCATCTCACATCTTTAGTTTATATTTTCTTCTATTTGTTTTCTTTGTGCTTGTTCCCATTCCTCTTTTCTTCTGTCTTTCAAGATCCTTTGCCAGCCTTTTATGTTATCTAACCAAGCTTCTGACCATTATTTATGTAGCTCTGACAGTACTACTCCTATTTCTTTGCCAATATCCTTTAGCTTATTGTTTATCTCATTTTTTTCTTTTTCTTCTGTTATTTGATTTCTTCTTGTTCTTGCTTTTTTTATTATTTGTTGTAGTGCCGTTATGTGTCTGCATTGCTGTGACTTTTTTTGACAGTGCCTTCTGTTTGATTTTGTATTGAATATCTTCTTTTTTGGTATTCATTTGTTTGCTACTTCTATTATGGCTTCTTCTATTGCATTCCACATATAGTTTAGTATATCTGTATACTATATATTGCTCAACCTATTCTCTACTAGTTGTTTTAGCACTTTTTTCTACTCTAATTGTGTTTGAAGCTCTGTAGCATATTCTTTTTAATCTTCTTGTTTTGCTTCCTCATATAAGTATATTGTTCTCATTTGGTCTTTATATTTAATCTTTGCACTAGTGTTTGTACTCGATCAAAAAAACATTACTCGGTTAACCGATGAGTAAACCCACAGGTTACTTGAGTAATTGACAAGTATACCTGAGTATAAAATTTTATCTGTTGTATCCAAATAAGCTATTAAGAATAGGGTATTCACATGTTTGTATAATATTTTGTAGCCAATTAAAATTTTACATTCTTGTTCATGTAACTTCCGATAACCCTTAAGTGATTGGCCTTTTGTCAAGTCAGCTTCTTGTTACTTAACTAGATCATATCTAATCCACATTTAATAACCATAGTTCTATATAGAATTTCACTTTAGTTCTATATAGTATTTTCAGTTTAGTTCTATATAGTATTTTCACTTTAATTACTATAAAAAAAAAGCTAACGTATTTGATAACTAACATTTTAGTCTATCGTTTAATCTTGGATTGCTTTTAAATAATAATAAAAAAGTATTTTTACTACAATCTTTATGAACTTATGCATATTTTATTCTAATGGTTTATATTACAAATAGTTGCAGTATACTAGAAAAAAATATATTGCATTGTTTTCATTAATTCTTTTATTTTAGAAATTTTTTGATTTATTGTTAAGTACTTTATTGTATTTATTTTATTATACAAGCTTCTTAAACATGAACTAATAAGTACTTAGATCCAAGCATTTTTACAATACATGCTATTTCACTTAACAAATAATAATTTATTAACAACCTCAGGTAATAGATGGGTTCTTTTGAGTGTAATTTGATTTCTAGCATTTGAAAATAATCGTTCACTTGGAACAGACGTAGCGGGAATCGATAAATATTTCTGCGCCATTCGGCTTAATATAGGGAATATGCGCTTGTTAGTATTCCACCAATCATAAACATCTGCAATATTAGATGGATTTGGTGTAATCATTTCATTCAAGTAATTATCGATTTCAATTTCTCGATTTACTTGACTTTGATTATGGTTAAATATTTTTCTTATGAAGCTAGGTGTGGGTGAAGATATTTCATTGTTAGTGTTTTCAACCAATTTATCAGTTATAGCAGTATTTTGCCAAACTTTAAATTCGGCACATAGCTTATTAATTGTATCATTTCGCATTTCATTTGACCACACTGATATTGATTTTAGTCAAGGGTCTAATAAAGTGGCGATTAATCCAATATCTCCTGGATCATGCTAATAATGTTCAAGAGAATTATAAATAGCTCTTTGAACTTGCAAAATTACTTCTTTATTGGAAAGCAGTTGTTGGGCATTTGTATCATCTGAGCTATAGCTATTATCTTCAGATAATTCATCTTAAGTATTAATATTTAATATTGCAAAAAAAAAAAAAAGTTTAAAGTATTAATTTAATATTAACATTGCAAAAAAAAAAAAAAAGTTACTATCTATTTTATTTTACCTTCAATATTAGGTACACTTTTTTCATCGATCTCAAGTTCATTTGACATTAATATATTGTAATCAGCAAATTCAAGTTTTAATGATTCAATTATTGGATTAACAGCTGAAAGTGTAGTATATTTGATACTACTAAGATAAGTTGTTAGCTCATCAAATAGTTTAAACACATCTATTAGTTCTTGCAACAATGCCCACTCATTATCTTCAAGCATAAGATGGTTTAATTTATCCAAGTCTTTTTTAGCACCCATTTCATTTTCTAAACGTAGAGTGATGGCAAGCCTTTCGATGGATGAACACAATATTATGAGCCTTTGTCAGGATTTGTAGGTGGAGTTCCACCTAGTTTTTACGTCGCTAATGGTATGCAGCACTTTAAATTTGGTTTTAGATGTTTCTGGCTTGTCATCATCATCTGCCTCAGATGATGAGTTTTCACTGAAATTGTATAGTTGAACTGGGGCCGAAGTGGATTTACTACGTTGAGCTAATTCAATTTGCGCTTGGTCAAGATATTGACTTTGTTTAGACATTTAAAAAATTTAATAAGTTTATTGACCCTTCTGGTATATAGGTTTATAATTTTTAGGGCATGGATGACTGTAAGTTGGAGAGTATGGGCAGCGCATGCAATATGCTCTACATTATCCCAGATTCTGATGGCTTTTTTCATATTCACCTTGTTATCTGTAATTGCACTAATTATTTTTCCGGTCAACCCAAACTCTTGAACTTTTTGATCTAGATATTCTTTAATCTTTTTACTAATGTGTAGGTGATCTATTTTTTCAATGTCTAAAATGACATCACGAACTTCAAAATTTGGAGTCAGCCAATAGATAGTAACGCCAATATACCCATCATTATTTCTGGATGTCCATAGGTCAGTTGTGATCAAGGCAGTTTCACAAGTGGTATAAAGCAACTCTTTTAATTCTAATATACTTTTATGATAAGCAATGGTAAGTTGCTCTTTAATACTTTTACTATTTGGTAATTTGAATGCAGGATCAAATCTATTTATCATTTTTTTATAACCTTCTTTATAAACGACATTAAAAGGCAGAGAGTCTATTACCAACCACTTTGCTGTAATTCTTTTTAACTCAGTTTGAATAGTTTCTTTATGAGGAGGCACTTTCCTAATCATTTCATTTATTTGCAATTGGCATTTGCTAGGATTTGATTTGAGATCATTTGGACCCAAAATCCCATGCTTTGTCCGAAGATGGAACTTCATATTACTAGTTCCACCATCATGTTTATAATCTGTACCATATTCATCCTTGACACCCTTCTTGAGTACAACTATCTTACAGACGTCATGTCTATTTTCAACTTCAAAATAATTCCAAACATAGCTCAATAATCTTTTGTCAGCCTGTTTAGTAATATTTACTTGTATTTTTTTTACACTTTGTTTTTCAGGTTCTTTAGTAGTCTTTCTCATAACCGCACTGTTAGAAGATTTGCTGTTTTCTTAGGGTCCAATATCAAAGTCAGTAAAAGGATTAATGTACGGGTCAGTATAGGGGTCAGTATAAGGATTATCATCAGAAACAAGGTCATTGTTGCAATCCATATTTATTGCAAGATAGAAGTATGAGATATAGGTTTTTTTAACTTGGGAAAATTTATCAATGGTAAGTAAAATCGAAAATTTCTTCTAATGCAGATGGTGATGTGTGCAATAATATATTAATTGGGTGGTTTATTCAATGTTTCTTTCACAACAAAGGATAAATTCAAGACTTCTTATATGAATTCTAAAGGCAAGGGTGTTTTTTGAAATTAAACATTTATGCAAATATTATTTAAGATTTAATCGTATGCATTCTGAGAGTTTTAACAGTCTTTCTTTTACTGCATAATTCTGTAGGCTTTTAACAACCCTTTTTCATTTCATGCATTCTATAGGACTTTAACAGTTTTTTTTTCTTTAGCAATATTTATTTTTGATTGCATGCATTTCATAAACTTAACAAATTTTTTTCTATAGCATTTAGTTAATGGACCATGATGCGTACAATATATACATCTTATTAAATTTTTCTTTTTCCTAGCATTCGGTCGATTGACCTTGATCGTTACAATAGTAATTTTTATTAACTTTTATCCTAATTTAATAATATTTTTGTTTTACTATTTTAGTGAATTTTGCATTTTATGATTTAATACTAACATTTTTTTGCATTATCTAATCATAGATCATTCCTATAAAAGGATGGTTTTCGCACAATTCCTGAAGTAGTTTCCTGGCAAAACACTTACCCGACATCACATAGAGTTAGGGTTAGCATTTGATTAGTTCAGGCTATACATTTTTAGTAGATTGTCACCCTGTGTGATGTTGGGTAAGTGGTCTATAGAGGAATAACTTTTGGGGAATCGTACCATAACCATAAAAGGATAATGTTAATTGTTTGTTTTTTTTTAAATTTCGTGTTTGAGTTTTAGTAATATTATGACCTTTACATTTGGCATTTTAGCGATTTAACAGCTTAAACGCATGCAACTATATAAGGTATTTAATTTGTTTATTAATTTTGATTATATGCAATACTAATATTCTTTAAATATAAAACTAGGGTTTATTTGTCCAGTTTGAGCTGCAGCTGCAAGACATTTTATCGTCACTATAGATAATTTAGATTAAGCAATGGCCTTCTATGTAATCGCAATATAATTCAATATTTGAATACTTTTACAGCTGGCAATTTTTTTGAGTTTAGTATCATGAAGTGTAAGTTTACTGGCTGCATATGATTGCCATTAGTTAGGGGTGCATTACAGCCAATGCGAATGTAATTCTAGGGGTTAATGATGTTACTAAAATTTTTAATATGGCGTTGAGGATTGCAGATACATCAAAAGTTTATTTATAAAACCATCTGCATTATGAAAAGATAGATTGATCAGATAAGTTAAATATTATGAAACATATTATTGATGTAGTTAGCAATGGCTAATTGGTATATTATCCTTATTATTGGTTTTGCATTTGTAAGCAGTTAATCAAATTCCTTTACTTATTTTAATTAAACTGCGCAGGTCAGTATGGTATGAATAGCTGTGCAATGCAGATTAAAAATGTAGATAACGATCTTTATAATAATTATATATGCTAGTTTTTAGACTCGAAAGACAAAAAAGATTGCTGACAATCACATAGTTGTTGAAAATTTTTTCGCACTATTACTATGTATTGCCACAAATGGAATATTAAAGCCTAAATTATATGGATTAGTATGCTATTGGGATGTGCAGTAACTATTCTGAAAATTGTACTATACAGATTCGCTATTATTATAGTATTAAGGTTAGGAATTAGGAATTTGTATAGTACAAAGTTTTTGAATAGTTACCATTAGAGGTTGGATTTGAATTTGAAAAATTCCACATTTAATATATAAATTCAAATTTTGAATTCGAATTTATATATGAAATGTTGAACTTCTCAAATTCAAATCCAACCTCTAGTCACCGTATATTCCAGTATCATTACTAATATAATGTGGGGTTGCTTGAAGCCCTATATCGATAATTTACCTATTAATGTAAGAACATCATCCATCCCTAATCGAGGTAGTCCAAGCATTACAATTAACGCATAGAGACTTGTAGTATTTGAAATACATAGTGGCAATTTAATCAGTCTATTTCAATACAGTAAATGTAAAGGAAGGTAGATTTGCACTAGTATTTGACTAAATTATTGTAAATTTAATTTAGTGTATACTTAAATACAAAAGTGACGAAATGTAAAATTTAGTAAAAAATTATACCAATTTATTTCTAAAAATCGGGTTTAATTAAAATACTTTCATGGGTAAGAAATTGATTCCAAATATGTATTAGAAATCTTTTAGAAATTGCTTACTTTTTTTTTTTATTTACATAAGAAGAAAGACTATTATATATCATTTCAAACTATGTTATTTAATTATTGCTACTTTAATATGTCTTTCATACTATCCTCTAACACCTAACACTCTATTTTTTAGTGGGATGTAATTTCAGCTCAGATATTGTTTCAATGCTATGACTATGAAATATATTTAAGGTTTAGAAATTATGAATAATTTTATACAGTGTTATACATGTAAACTCGACTAAGAAAGGTGACTAATTAACATGCAATTATAACTAGCATTGATGCTTCACTCCTAAGTGCTCTTGAGACTTTTGCATAATCAATAACGTCTTTTTAAAATTACATGCAAGTACAATTAAAATTTTACTTCTTTATAGCAAAACATTAAACAAATTCATATTATAAATCTGTTCAGTAACATATAACAAATAATTAAGTTATAATATATAAAAGTAATGATACCTATTACTTACAATTCATTACTTAGATATCTGATTACTCAGGTATTATTTGGATACACCTATCTGAGTATTATCAACCCACCCACAAAAATTGTTTCTGTGACCAATCAAACTTCAAGATCAGGTGAACGTAAATAATTGAAGCGAAACAAAAAAAAAAAAACAGAAATAACTCTAAATTTAATTTAAAAAAACCACCTTCTGCAGCCTAATTAAAAATGCTTCTCATGAAATTTTACTTTTAGGTGCTAAGTTATTTTAATCCTAACTCTAACCTAACTACAGCGCAATGTAAAAAATTAAAAAATTACAGGGAGGCACAATTTTTGTGAGTGAGCTACCAAAATAGTAAACCCAGGTATTACTTGGAGAAAAACTAAACTAGAGAAAACCATCAATTAAAAAAATTTCAGATTATTTCGAAGTAGAGATTATACCCGTTACAGCTGTTTTCACTATTCCTGGGACATCTGATAAAATTGCTGAATGATTTTTGGCTAATTCGATTAAGTTTATGATTTCAGTGATCTGATGAGTCACCTGAACACTCTAAATCACAAAACTTAATCGAATCAGCCAAAAAATCATTCGGCAATTTTATCAGGTGTCCTAGAAATAATGAAAACAGTTGTAAAAAATCTTTGCCCAGGTATTATTAAATTACCTAGTTATCCAGATGATTTATTATAATCCTATAACAGAAAATTCTACT